TCTCGTGTTTTAATAGTACTCGTTTGCCAAGTCAACCAGTTCCGCCTAACGATCAACATTAATACAGTGAACTGCCTGACGCAACAAGAGGCTCATTCGTTCGTCCGTTTGTTTTCCTTTTTTTATTTTTATTTTTTAAAACTCCGCTCATTGTTTCAGAAGCATTATGCGAAAGACCTTTTTTTGTGGCAGTAGGATGTAACAATACACATAATAAAATACACTAGACAGGATTTTTAAATTCATCTTTTAGCTGAATGAACGCACTGAAATATCGCAACACTGCAGATTGTCATAATTAGGCATTACGTTACCGTTCCCTTTATTTTAACCTTTTACGTTATTGACAAAGTGTTATCGGAAAATTGCTCCTATTGTTTTGTGCACTTTTCCTTCAGATCACTTTCTTTTCCCCCCTCCCTGGATTGAATCTACATGTGTTAAACTCGGCTCCTCAGAGTGAAATGCACTTTTTTTTGGTTAGCAGAACGAGCTGAATTGCTAATGGTAAGGACTGTTCTGAGTAGCCACTGGGAGGAAGATTGAGGGTGCCTGGGTGGCACTTGAGTCCACGACCCCCCTTTGACATAGAATGGGTGGAGCAAGTCCTTTTATAACCCCCCCCCCTCCCCAGATAAAGACAACGCTGGGGAACCAACAGCCAGTCCCTGTTTTGATGGTTGGATTACCCAGCAACAGGAAGATATGCTCTAGGCGGGGCCTCAAGAATGGGATTGCACCCCCCCCCCCCCCCCCCCCCCGCCACCCCTACCAAGGGACTTCCAGAACAACCCCACTGCCCCTCTGCTGCAGAGATGTGCCGTGATGCTGACTGCGTGAAACCTCCGTCTGTAGCCAAGACATAACTAGTGAGACGTTGCGTGTGCATAGATGATGATGTTCGTGCTGGGTGGGGAGGACGACATGTTTAAAATTATATATATAAATATGTAATCTTGAAAGCTTATATATAACAGTGAAGTCCTTTTCTCACACACAGTTTGGGATGTTGTTTTATCCATTGTGTGCCTTTGTCAGGGTATTCAGATGTGTATAGTTTGTTTAAAAAAAAAAAAAAAATCAGAAAAAAATTTGAAAAGTAAGAACAGGTACTAATTATAGACTCTTGTGTTCAGTATCAATGTAAATACAGTTAAACAGTATCCTAAAAATTATCCAGTATATGGCTCACTTCTGCCTGAGATTAATTTCCCTGTATAGCTAAATATAAACTGCAAAGGTAGTGAAGTGGTTTATTATTATTTTTTAAAACATTATTTGTATGAGAAGGATTGATGAACACTAGAAATGCAGCAGCAGACGTGTAAATAGCGAGACGCATTTATTTTAACGGATGAGAGTAGCTGGCAGGCCTCGCTGACATCTCGACTTGTTCATAGTCTCGACGGTGACAGTTCATACTAGGTAATATGCAAAACAGATTTGCCAAAATGCCTCCAAAATAATTCAGATGTTAACGAACCCTAAGTATTTGTTGATTCTCGGTTGGCGACCGCATTCCGCTGATGAGCGTTCTGGAATGGCAGGGGCTGGCCCTGGGGTCAACCTCGCGTACTGAGGATTCAGCCATCCTGGCGCCCCCAGATGTGTCCAATGCAGTGCCAATAGCCTTTATGGCAAAGGGAAATGTCAGAGGTGTAGTGATTGGTTCCGCCACACGGGGGCAGCGTTGCGGGTGGATGGTGCTGGTGAAATTTTTAAGGGTAACACTACAGGGCCTGGCGCAGGACGGCCCGGCACAGCATCCCAAACACACATACACACACACACACGTGGACACACGCGTTTGGGGAACGGGCGACCCCCCTCCCATGACCAACAGCAGTAGCCCCAGTCACTCTGCACCAAAGACTAGCTTGCACTAGCGAAAGGAAAATCAAACCTATTTAGTGCTGTTGACTGAAAAATAAAAGTTAAAAAAGTGATTTTGATTTTTCTCCCTTCTGTATTTGTTTGACCTCCGTAAGTTTATGTAGCAAATGATAAGCATTTGGTTCCCGCCCTACTAAACTGCTGCTGGCCATCTCGGCGTGGAGCCTGACGTGTCATTTCCTCCTGTCTGTCCAGACTGACTTCTCCTATAGCTTCTGCTGTGTACAGACATGTTATCTTAATTTTTTTATTTTTTTTTATCTATCAAGGAACAATTTCCCAGTGCAAGGGGGGCATAATGACGACAACATGCGTTGATTTCCTGACATGATGAACGCTCTGTCTCCGTGATCCTGCTTCGTTAGCCAAGTTTCTTTTCCATTACGAATTTTAACTGGTTTCTTGTTGCCCTGAGTGTGTTGTATTTACTGAATAGACTGGAATTATCTGGAAGTCCTGATTAATGGGGGTGGGGAGGGGGGTGCTGAAGAAGCAGGATTTCAAAACTGATGCTATTCTGAACATTTACTGCCTCTTTTCAGAAACAATTAGTCTTAACAAGTAAGCATTAACTTTTTTAAATCTTGTTTTTACTGCATCTGGTTTCTGTGCAATCCGTTTCACATCACCTATAATGTAATTGTATTTGGAGGAGGGGGTGGGTTAAGTGATTCATGCACTTAAATTTCACAAAGTGTTCGGGTTGTATTTGTGGTGTGCATTAGAGATTGGGGGGGATCAGTGAAATAATGTCCAAAGGGCCAATTTTGTTTACAAATCTTTTTTTTTTTTTTACATACTTGAATTGTGAGAATACACCTCTTTTGAATGCAGTCGGGTATAAAGGGAAGTCTGTAATTTTCAAGGAGTGACGGTAAGGGTGTCCACAGCAGTATATGAAAAGTGTTACAGCTCTACAGGTAGTATTAACAAAAGTCAAAGAACTATTATATATTTGTGAATTGACCACCAGACTGTCCTGCTGTTTGGATTCCGATACTGTATTATGGTGAGTGACATCAACTGATGCAGACCCCAGTGGTCTTGATGTGCAAACGACCCCCCCCCCGTAGTCTGCAGTGAGTCATCTTTCTGTGTGTCCGTGAGCAGCGGCGAAGCTTAAAAGCTAGTTTTATGTCAGGTTCCCAGCCTGAGCACCCCTGAGCTCACCTACTGATCGTTTGTCTTTCGCTGTTGAAATTTCTGGCCGGGCTCCACTGCAAAGGCACAGAATTAGTGTTTGGGATGCTGGTGTTTCTTTTCGTGTTCTGTTCTGCTTATAGCTTGGTTTCGTCAAACCATCTCATGTGCAGCACATGAACTTGTTTTTCCACACCAAATATGACTCGTAAAAAAACTACAACCAAGAATATTTTGCGAATAATCTGCTATAGGTGACCTGGAACTTGTATTATTCACTTGCAGCCAATGAATTAAATCCTTGTTTCTTAAAGGGCCATTACATGTAGCACAATGAAGTTGTTAACCACTCTGTTTGCTTTTGTAGTGGCTTTTTATTGGTGTTGAGGGAGACTTAAAACCCACTGAATTAAAAGGATTCGTCGTGTCCGTTGCCTTACCTGGTGGATCATCCCTGCTGCGTTGTGACAGTTTCCCACTTTGGTTGAAGGATTGTACTATATGAGTTTACCCCTGGGGAGATGAATTCACCCCCCCCCCTCACACACACACACACACACACACACAGAAAACACCAGGCACTCTTGTAGCCTGTCATTGCAAGGTTAACAAGGTGGGTGTTAGGCCATAGATCTTTAATTGCAGTCAGATGTTTAGTATGTAAGATTAAAATGCCTTTGTTAGTCATGTCTTAAGGTTATGCAAAACAAATTTTTCTCTCTTTTAAGGATTGGCCACTTTTTTTTAAAATGCCGTACGTTTCACTTCTGTAAATATTTTTTGTGTAAAATTTGACAAAGGTATATTTACTACACTGTAAATACATGTGATGATATTGTATTATTTTGCTTTTTTGTAAAGCAGTTAGTTGCTGTACATGTATAACATATAAATTGAATTATCTAGTGTTAGTATTGAAAACTTTTCTCTCCATGCTGCCACTGCATCGTGTCATTAAAATATTGAGAATAAAAACAATAAAACTGAAATGAGGTATTTGAATTGCTGTGTTAAACTCACACTGTGTATGATCCGTTTAATGTTCTCATTGGAATTCACCTGAATCTCGTTTAGAGCTCTGGGGCATACCTATGGTCCAGGGAGAACTGCTGTCAAAACTGAATTATATACTCTTTAAATATTGTGAAAATTGCTTAAAAAAAAATCCCACCTCATGATTTTGTCATTTGCATCCCTCGATGTACAGTATGTATTTTTTGGAAGTAAAATGTAAATTTATCCTGTCACATCGCGCTGTTTTCGTGCTCTTCATTCAGACGCTATATGTACATACTTCTAAAAGTAATTTGTGGATTTGCATCTATCACGTGATTTTCTGCTAAAAAGTTGACCTTGCTTCATTAACCTTTTCATTTTGCATACGACACTGGCATATCAGCTTTACCATCTCCACGTATTTATATTCACACTGAATATATCACTTATTTAAGGACTTGCCAATAAACAGTTTAACTGTGTGCTGCTGTCATTAATAGACCCTGCGCAAAGAGTGGGGGAAATAAAACACTTCAGCTGTGACCGAAAACCTTTCAAAAGTAAGCGGATAGTTGTAATCGTGCCCATCGTGATTCGAAAGGACACCTGACTTTGGATAGAGGTTGAGCCAAAATGGCCATGTGGTAAACGGTTTCTCGTGGCCGAAAAAAAAGTTGCGCTGCAACTGCGCTCGTGACTGTCTACGCGAGAGGCGGCGAGCCTCGTCCCGTCCTCCAATTATCGCGATGTTTGATCAGCTGTTGGTCTGTTTTTAGAGTCTAGTGTTCGGACGGTCAACACGTGGGGAGGAGAACCGTGCATACAAGAGAGGGGACGTCTAAGGATTGAGCTGGGGCCCGGAAAACGTAGATTAACGTGCACCTATTCACGGTGGCGGTGCGGAATACAATTCACAACAGTAAGTGTGCTTTGTTTGTTTATTCTCCCATAGTCGATGTTTCGCGTATAGCGGATCCCGATGCCGGGCGATTTTAATTGCTGGGACGAGTTGCACAGTGG